AAGATTAATAATAATAACATAATAATTAATAATCGTTATATATTTTTAAATTCTTTAATTTGTATTCATTAAGCCAGTTATTGTTTGTTGGTTTGGGCTGTGAAAGTTACTTGTCATTACGACAGAATCAAAAAAATACTAAATTTAAAATTCCTCGGCAAAAATTATGAAATTAGCTCACCTTGATTTTAATTAACAGTAAAGAAACCAATTACAGATAAAATATAAAATATTTTTATTTAATAGGGGAACAGTCTGGCTTCATAAATTATAGCTTAAACAAACTAGATTAAAATATTTAAATTAATGGTATAATTTTTCCAAACCATGCAGAAGAAAATATGAAATAATCTAATGTTGAGGAAAAAGTTATAGAAGGATCTTGTTATTTGCATTCCTAAAACCAATAAAAACCTAAATATGCAAATTAGTCTACGATCAAAAGAGAAGTCTTACAGATTGGGCACGCCTAAATTGGATGAAAACACGGCCCCAACAAAAGAACTGTGAATTGAAACAATAGAAAGGATCGTAAAAAGGCAATTCTCAGTGGAGTTTAGTGAAAAATGTTGGCTGTCCCCAGTCAACTATATGTAAAATTTGGGTAAATTATAAAGGGAATAGGATTGTCAAAAAAAAAAAAAAAAGAAAATATATTGGTAGACCACAAAAGATAACAAAGCTTAAGGATAGAAGACACAAAGCAATATGCCTTAAAAATATAAAATGTGCATCAAATGAAATGAAAAAGGGCTCAAAAGTTAATGTTTGTGACAAAACTGTAAGAAATTGGCTGAATGAAATGGCATACAGAAAAGCCGAATGAAAACCAACACAAACAGAAGAAAACGGTTAAAGTGGGCGAAAAACAACAATTATGGCTGTGGATGATTGGATGAAAGTGATATTCAGTGATGAATCAAGAATCTGTACTGGCCAAGGCGATGATGTTGATGTAAAGCCAACAACGGAAGTCTTAAGAACTCTGGGTACTCTTTGCTGACTGCACTGTTGCTGTAGTGTTACATTTACCTGTGAAAACCTCACTGGTCCTCAGTGGAATGACGAGTTGGGAATAGCCACCCCGCGAGTTGTACTTTGTTATGTTGTAACTGGTGCTGTGTTTACCTGTCTAGTTGGATATTTGATATGCTTTTTTTTAGCTAAAAATGGATTCCAATCACAAGATCACTCTTTGCAATTATTACACAATTCTGTCTTCTTTCTTTTTGTTTGTAGCTGGAGCGAACATTAGCTAGTCTCTACACAAGGATTTCTTGCCTTTCAGGCGTTTTTCCATGAATGATCAGTCTAACAACAGTACCTACTATTTTTTTAAGTCATTTTCTTTTTTTAATTTCGCTCTTCTAACTTCGTTGAAAAGTAGCTCCATATCTCTAACGACCAGGTGATAAAATTGACCTTACTGACTGACCGAATCGGCTTTTTCCCAGTGCCTGCGAATGTGGACCTTTCTGTTTATATAGTCTTCGGACATTGGAACTGTCTCGTAGGCCTTTTGTTCAGACAAAGATTTTTTTACAAAAACAGATGGCCTTATTGACAAACTCTCACCGTTAGATATATAGTTCTTTATTTTCCGAAGTAGGCTCGAGTAATGAGAAATACATGTATTTTGGGAGAATAGGAAAATATTTGGAAAATTTTACTCGCTTGGTCATTCGCAGATTCTATCACGTACACACCCTTTTAAATTAGAAATACGGATTTTGACTCTAACCAATTCTAATCTCAAAGTCTTAAACAAATATTTTTATACGCTCAAATTAACCGATTCGTTTGGTTTCTTTTTCTATTATAGTTTTCTCAACTTTCTCTATCCCCACACTGACTTTCTTAAGTACTTAATTCACACCAATCAAGAAACATTATTCATAAACCACTAAAATCTTGTGCGAGGTGGTTACCCTTCTACACTACTTTCGTCTGGTGTTGCTCAAATGAAATATATAAAGATGAATACCTGAAGAAAACAAATAAATTTTCCAAGTCACGGTTTGTAGTTTTTTTCCCAATTCAACAAAAATAGACAAAACTATAGCGTTAGATACGAGGTATACACATGTGTACAATATGACACAATCGTTCCCTTTACAAGCGAATGCATATTTTCTTAATATTTTCCATTCCACTTCTGGATTATTCCTGACTTTGTCTTTCAATCGCCATAAATATATAGTGCCTTACGGTGAAAGAAATTTTGTGATTGTAAAATTATTGTTTCCACTTCCCTTCAGAAAGACCAAGATATATATGGTCCATCTTTGTTTACAGTTGCCTTGACAGTTAAACATTCTCTCAAGACACAACTATATCTGTTCCTGCAATTGCAAGAAATGGTTTGATTAGTATCACGTGCGCTCAGTGCGTTTATTATGTTGTCCATGCAACAATAACTAATTTTGCTGCTATTGAATGTCTTATGGCGCTTGCTAGTAGAAGGATCTCGATGTGCGACAAAAATCTAATGAAAGTTCAACAGACAAACCTTGTCAATCAATTTTAATCAAACGTATTTTATTAGTCCTACTACCACTACACACGCATATATAACGATTGACACGTTCGCAGTATTAAGAATCAAAGTCGATTTTTTTTTTTTAAATAAAAGGAAAATGCCGAGAAAGAAGTAAAAGAAATTTGAATGGAGAATAATCGTTAAAAAAAGAAAGTGGGCTGGAGAGATAGAAAAGAAGATATAAAACATAAAAGAGGATAGAAAGAGAGAAGTGAGAGAGATAATGAGAGCTAGAAAACACGGTGAAAAAAGAGACTTGCTGAGATTGCGAGTGAAGAAAGAACAAGAGATGAACATAATGAAAAACAGAAAGGAAACAATTATATAAAAAAAGATGTTAAGAAAATTAGCAGAAATAGAAGATAAAAGACAACAAAAGAAGCAACGCAAATGTAAAAGAAAACGATGAGGATAAAAACTGGAAAAATAAAAAAGCTCGGTTAGCAGAGATTTTGCTCAAGATTCGTAAAGGATTAACGAGGACAAAAGATATCAAACTGTCTCAAGACGGATCATCTTTCTGAAACAAATTTGGCAACATTTTTTCTCTGCTATCATTGAATCCTGTTTTTTTTCTCTCGACACCTGAAAATTATATCCTTTACTCGAGACTATTATCACTAAATGAATTATGTAGTTTATGTCAGATTCGAAACAGTACCCAAGTTCTCAAATAAACTGAAGACTATCTTGCTAAAGATCAATTTTATTACGTACCAATCTAAGAGATAAACATCAACTGAAGATGATGGAAAAATTATTGATATACTGATCTTTAAAAAGAGTATTTGTAAATAAATTTGTCTACAATTAATTTTCGATTGAAAAGTTAAACATTCAGCATATACATACATACATACATACATACATACATTCATACATACATATATACATACAAAATGACCGGCAACTATGCTGAGTGGGTCTTAGTTACAATATCTAAGAGGGAGCGCATAATCTGGAATGATCAATTATTTCGCTAGTATGCTCAAACAATCATTTGCAATGATTTGATGCTTCGTGATAGCAAAAGTATCGATGGCTTTCGAACAGTTCCGTTTAGCCAAGTTCATTCACAAGGCTTGAGTCAAACCGTGGCATGATTTTCAGACACCTTCCAAGAGTGCCGCGTGCTAGGATCGCCTCTCAAGGTCACCTTAAAAAGCAAATCGACTATTATTAACTTATAAAAAAAAATAACACGTATACGAAAATTTGTTGACTACGTCAATTGATTTTCTCCTTGTTTATTTTTTTCCGCTCGTGTGAATTGCACACAGAGAGAGAGAGAGGGAGAGAGAGAGAGAGAGAGACGGACGGACGGACGGACGGACGGACGGACGGACGGACGACGACGTCCTAGCGCAGGTTATCAAACTGTCCGCTACCGGGGAACATTTTAATTCCGTCCGCAACCGTCCGACTCACGGGTAAACCCGCACGCTTTGCTTACAATCTTCCTCCTCTCAGCCTAACGGCCTCAGCGAAAAACTTGCCAGAAGACTTTCCCGTCCCCGATTCATACCAAAACTCTTCCTTTTTACCAGATTTTCCCCGAACCGGAAGTCCTTCGTTATTTATTTATTTAGCAAATCAGATTCCCGGCTTAATTTTTTAACTAGCACTGATCGATCGCATTCACCCCTGCTAGCCGTGTTGACCTTTCTCACTGAAGGATCGACTTTAAAAGACTTTTCACAGAATAACGCCTGCTGTTTGGCGACTTGATAACAATTTAGCCCACATGGTATTAATTTCTAGTGTTGCTAAAATTCCTTTAGTTTTTTCTTATTTTATTTAAGAACCCAATATAAATTTACTCTGAAATATCACCCATTAAATAACAAAAAGTTACTATCTCAGATTGTCAGGGTCCTGTACATATGGTCGGAATGTAGAAATTAAATTTAATTTAACAAAGACACATGACCGATTTAAACGCAAAGTCTGTATGTCTTAAAATTACAAACATGCGTTCTTTTTATAAAAGTAAAAAAATGAAAGAATATTTTATTGACAGTTCATGGAGAAAACATAAAAAAATTGAGAAAAGACATAGAGTCGACTTCGTCTCAACTATCAAAATCTCTTCGCGTTCTTCTTACCAGCATCATCGCATATATTTCGTTTTTTATTTTATTTTGTTTATTTTAGATTCTTTTTTACTCATTTTCCAATGACTGTTTAATTGATTGATTCATTCATTCATTTTCTTCGGCCTATCAACCCATTGCAGGTTATTTAAAGCCAGGAAATATTTTTGGATTGTAAAGTGTGTTTCTTTTTTTTTAGATAATAATTGTTTGTTGATAGAAGTCTTACTAATTAACCCATATCTAGGGGAAAGAGTTTGATTCACACCGTTCGCAAAGTTATTTACGCATAATTGAATATAACAAACACAACGGGAATCAGAACTCGGATCTCCGGTTAACAATTAAGCCACCCACACATTTAAGCTTATAGCACCTGGTATTCCCAAGCAGTCACCCATCTAGGTACTGACTAGGCTCAACGTTGCTTAACTTCGATGATCGTACGACGTACGAGAATCGGTGTTTCAACGTGATGTGGCTCTAAGCCAAAGGTTGTAATAAGTGTATATGTAATCTCTCTCTCTCTCTCTTTCTCTCTCTCTCTCACACACACACACACACACATATTCTCTCTCTCTCTCTATTACACACACACAAACGCACACGACTCATACATAAAAGTTGAATCAGTCACATAATCTTTAAAGATAGGGACTGTTTTTGTTTATCTTTTGTTTTTGTTTTTTGTTGCATTTTCTTAATATAAGATTTACAAAAAAAGAAAACAGAAAAGAAAGCAAATGAAAAAAGTGAAAGAAAAAACAAAAAAGAGAAGAAAAGTAAACCAAAAAGGTATGCAAAGTAATGAGGATGAAAAAAAGAGCGTTCTAAAAGAATGATGTCTAGAGAGAAAAAGAAAAAAAATGCAGAGAAAAATTGAAGGAAACCATGTAGAAAAGAATGAATTGTAGAAAAAGAGGAAAAAAAATGCAAAGAATCAAGTGAAAGCAAAATATGCAGAGAAAGAGTTCTTGGCAATAAAGCAATGCACGTTGCTTGCCTTACTACCAGAGATATTATTACAGCATTCTTATAATTGCTTTAAGCATTCGCTAATATCTGTCCTTGTTGATCACCTACGCATTCGTATCTGGCGAAGGCTATTCATTGCTCCCCTATATACCTTACTTTTCTATTCTTTTTAGCTGTTTATTTTCCTCTCACTTGAACCAATATGCGACTTGTTAAACAACCGATTTCGTTTTATGCAGAAGACGCGCAGAATATTATTGCATTGTGCCGCAGAATTCGGAACATAGGTCGACTGCCGCAAAACAAGATTCTTAGATTATTACGACCATAATAGTAATTATTAATAACCCATATAAATGACGATCGATATTTGTTTATGGAAGCAGCTCGTCTTGGCAGAATATCGGAAGAATTTTGTTGTGATTAAAAGCAGCTTAATTTGTACTGAACAAATTGAAAATGGCACTGGTGCATCAAAGCGTCTCCAGTCACCAGATTTGCAAGCGACAGTTATAAAACTGTAAAACCTAAATTTATACATAGGTAAAATGTATATAGTCTAAAATTTAATTTCATTTTGGTGTTTTTACATATCACAAAGATTGAACATTGCAACAATATTTAAATTTCACTAAAATCTAATTCTGATCAAATAAAATTTATTATACGAAATGTATGTTTATCATTTTCCTGTTAATATTTTGTTTTATTTTAAATATCATTTGATACCAAAATGTTACCAATCCCTATTCCTTTTTTTATAGGAATAACAAAATTTTAGTTTTAATCTCATCTTATTTCCGTTCCTATGCTATGGATTCAATAACTTAGTCACTAGTTGTTAATATTTAATCATTTAAGTCATTAAAATGTAAAAAATATTACAATGTAACATTTTCTATATTTTCATGAACTCTTGTATTTATGACCATAGCTTATCACGCAATCCAATTCACAGTTTAAAAATTTTATAAAGAGACTTCTAACCAAATCAGATAATACGTCTTTGTCTCTCAAAATTCTACATGACAGATTTAGGTGTAAAACCTAATCCTTTTTTGACTTTTTTATTACGATGTATCTCAAAACTCAACATTAAATGTCTCTTTTATACCTTTTAGTGTATGTTGTATTGGAAATTCTATGCACGTTGGTATAAAACCATTACTTATTATAGAGGTCTCTCTTTGTATTTGTCCTGGGAAGCTATTTCGAACGAAGCATATTGTAATTTTGATGTATATTCTCTTTTATCGCGTTTTCTTTCTCTTTGAATTACTAGTAAATACGATTTGTTACTTAAAAATAGCTTTCATTTGTTTCTTCTTCATGTGTTTCCTATGTTGTTTCACAAATCTCATACGCGCATTGTCAAAAACAAACAACAATTTCAGCATATGAATACATAAAATAAAATTTCCTTTTTACAAACTTTAATAATTCAACACTGCTGACTGCCAATATTCCAAAAATTAATCAATCAATGACTTGTGGTGATATGCAAAGTTTTTAATGTGGTTAAACCACCATTGCGATTGGTTCGAAATACGATAAGGTAGTTTAACACTCCGCTACCACCTTTTTTTATCAATATCAATTTTCGTACAAAAAGTGGATCACAGAGCTTATTCAGCTTAGTAAATATTTTCAGAAAATCTCAACTTCTAATTGGTCGCTTAATATTTAATAACATCGACCTAGTTCTTGACCTGACCAAAAAGATAATTCTGCCAAAATCTATCAAGCTTCTGTGAGCCAATCACGTGACCAAATTTAGCAATAAAATATGAAACATCTTTCATCTTCGACAGTGCGCCGATCGGAATCCTTTCAACTCGTCACACAGTTCCAGGCTTTATGCTAAAGTTCCTTAATATGATTCCGGCCTGAGAGAACACTTATTCACACAGCAATATTTTATGACAAACAATCTACTCAAGTTTTCTACATTCAACTTAATACACGAATCTATATACTTTTTCAAAAGCTTTCAAGCTCAACGTTAATTATTGCAATTAACATAAAGACATCTTGTTAAGAACCACTTACCCCAACTAGAATATTCTCTTCGAACAAGTGAAAACAAATCAAAGAACGACAATTCCGTAAACCTTAAAGTAAGTTGTAAACAATATTTCTCTATTTCAAATACAAACTTGAACTGTTTATTTTTTTTCTTAAATTACTATAATACCAAAACACACTTACTCATTATTGTACAGACCATTCAATACAGACCATTCAATACAGACCATTCAACAAATTATAATCTATCAAACCAGAACTTTGATAACTTTTCATCTAAACATAAAAGGACGTTTGAACTTTTTAAAACCACCTTTTTTACTCCAGTTGTTTTTGTATCTCTTGTTTATATAAATATTTTATTCATTGTTGTGCAAAAACTGTTCTTTCTCATGTTGTCCTTATTCTATGTTTGTTGAATACTAAAATTTAATATGAGAGGAAATTATTAATTTCATCACGCAGCCTAATTTACTCAACAATTTTTTATTCATATAATTTAATTAATTAACACAACCTTCACAGTAGGATGTCATTAAAAATTAAAATTGGTACGGGCGTAGTGGAGAACTGTTCACGTGACGTGGAAGCATTTTTTAAAAAACAAAACAAAAAACAACAGCTCACTTGAAATAAATTTCATAAAAATGATCATAAAATTAAAAAAAATAAATTAAGACTTTAGTAAGCTAATCGACCTGGAATCAAGAAATCAACGAAAAAGGTCACCCCAGAAATGCCAACCCAAAAGAACAATGTAACCCTAACTCAAGAATGTCTGTTCTTGTCTATGCGACACGACTCCTTCCCTTAATTATTTATGACAAAGCCAGTTGCAAAAAATTGAATGACGCGTTAACGCCACCAACAGCGACAAGGAGTAAAACTGTGATCTTTGTATTCAAAATCCTTTCCGACAAACCCTCTTTCCATGAACACTAATAATTTAATATAAATTTCATGATGCAAACCACATATTCTCGGTACGAAGATTTTATTCTTCAAAATATACACAAATTAATACATGCTTAACATACAAAATCTTCTTGTTTAAATAGTGCAAATAAATTCTACCGCTGAATATTAAAAGATATTTCATTTGGCTTTTTTTTTCTTTTTTTTTTTTTGTGCTGACAAAAACAAATGAAATATCTTCTTAAAAAACCACCAAGTACAATTCATAGCGCAAACCATCCAGACCAGGCGACTTGCCTCTGCCGACCTTCTTCAATGCCTCCGTGATCTCTCCCTCACAGCTAGCTGCTCAGTCGGCGAAAGCCGAGGAAAGTCAGCCAAATAGCTACAAAACTCCTCATCACGGAGACCAGGCTCCTTGGTAAACCGGCTCTCGAAATGCCTCCGAAAAGCCTCGCACATGTCGTCAGTGGCCCGAAGAGTATGCCCCTCCGGGGTTTTGACCTCAGGAAGGTAGCGACCGGAACCTCGACGGATCTCTTCCTTGCGCACTTCTGCACCTATATTCACAGCTTCTTATTTAACCTATGTCTAATTACCTGACTCATGTAGAGCTCGGTAGTCAAATGCTCCAGGGATTCCCTAGTTAATGCTATCTCTAGGGGATCCACCCAGCCACCGCCCGGGAAAAACTATCCTTAAGAGCCTTCACCCTATTAGCTTTATCTAGTGCGAAACGTTTGCTAAACTCACTGGTGAAGGATCTAATGCTATTCTTAAGTCTCTCCCACCATCTATTCCCGATAACCGCCCCCACTAGTTCCCGCTGCACTATGCTAGTTAGTTGCTCCTGGAAGTTCCGCCTGTCCAGTAAAGACAGATTGAACTTCCAGTATCCAGCCATTCTAGGCCTACAATCTAACGCCACCCGGGCACAAACAAGTTTGTGGTCCGAATATCCTACCCAGTTGAACGTGGGACAATTTAGCAAGTCTATGTCGGCACCTCTAACAAACATTCTATCCAGATAGTTAACCACCTGGGCAGAAGGCCAATTAAGGGCTCACGTCCACATCTTCCCCCCCGGGGTGATCGACCCGGTATCTATCGACGAGACCAAACTCGTCGATCAGATCAACCAAGCTACGATCGCCCCTTCTCCGTCTAGCTCCTCGCCCCCTATCTAACTTGGGTCCCAGGATGGCATTCCAGTGTCCCATTAAGACTAGGCGCGTTGAATCCACCACGAACGGCCCCAACCGGCGAAAAAACGAGACCCGCTCCTACCGGTCGTTGGGCGCATAAACCGCAACGACTCGGAACAAACCACTTTTCACGGCAATATCGGCTACGATCAACCGGCTCTCGGCATCGACATGAACAAGGTTCACCTTCGCATCCAGGGTACAGCTAACCAGCAAAGAAACGCATCGACGTTGCAAACAATGTGGGTCTCTTGAATCGCGGCGACATCCACTCCGAAAGACAAGATGTTACGAAGCAGGCGGACAGCCTTACACCGATCCCTCAGGCCCTTCGCATTCAGACTGGCTATCTTGATAGCCA